TTTCGGGATTTAAAAAAAAAATGTTGTTGAAAGAAGTCTCTTTTACGCTCACCAAAGCTACATTTATTTAATCAAAAATACAGTAAAAACAGTAATATTGTGAAATATTACAATTAAAAAGAACTGTTTTTAAAATGTAAAGCTGAATGTCAAAGCTGAATTTACAGCAGCCATTAATTAAGTCTTCAGTGTCACATGATCCTTCAGAAATTCTAATATGCTGATTTGCTGCTCAATAATAATTTCTTATTATCATCAATGCAGTAAACATTCGTGCGGCTTCATATTATTTGAAACTACAATACTTTTTTTGTACCATTAAAAGCATGGTAGAAAAATATTCAGTTAAGGGTCAAACGAAAGGTGAAAATTGTCATGTAAAATTTAATTTTGACTGTTTTTGGTGCAAGAAACCTAATAACAAAGCTTCAGGAGAAAACATATAGTTCACTAAATGTCTTTACTGTCATTTTTTGATAAATATCATGTGTCCTTGCTAAATTAACAGTATTAACTAAATATATATATTTTATATATTTATATTTTTTTGTGGAAACTGTGATATTTTCAGGATTCTTTGATGCATAGAAAGTTCAAAAGAACAGCAATTATTTAAAATATAAATCTTCTGTAACATTATGTATGTCTTTACTGTCACTTTTGTGCAATTTAACGCATTCTTTTTGAATAAAAGTATGAATTTCTTAAAAAAAAAAAATCGTACCAACAGCAGGTAATGTTTGGACAGGATGGACAGGATATGGCCAACTTCATATTCAAATTGTTGCATAATTTTAAGTTGTAGATTGATTCTAAACCACCTAAACCACAGACCTAGGAACTCTAGGAACATGACTGACTTGATTATTTGGATGAGAAAACATTTCTTATCTCTTAGTTTGTAAAATCAAACAGAAAAAGTGAGGTGTGTTGCTCCATAGACTTCCACTGTCTGCATGGTTTTACAACAGCTGCAATCTAAAGTTGAATGTATCCCATTTGGAACATTTAAGCATGTTTTTGTGCAAAATAAATATGATGTCTCAAACCTGCTTGGTTATTTATTAACTAGCAGTGTATTCCAGTAGATATTTATGCCAAGTTCTACTAAATCCAAACAAGCAACGTTCAAAAACAAGACCCAAACCTTTCAGTGCACAAAACCCTGATCCACACAAAACTTACCATGACGGAGGAAATGCGTCGCGAACACACACACACACACACACACACACACACACACACACACACACACACACAGAGGAGATACAGACGCTTAGAAGAAACTAGGAAAGCTTGAATCACGCAAGATAGCACAGTACCACACCCAGGACATACTGTATTGCTCAGAGTCAAGAGAATTACTATTATGATTAATTTAAGAATCAAGTTTGTTTCTGGTTTCTCTTCTAACATTTCTTTTGGGGAGATAAAAATGAGACACAAATGAATCAATAGTTGATGTACACTCTTAAAAATAAAGGTGCTTAAAAGGTTCTTCACAGCGATGCCATAGAAGAACCATTTTTGGCTCCACAAAGAAGCATTCAGTCAAAGGTTCTTTAAAGAACCATCTCTTTCATACATTTTTATAATCTGAAGAACCTTCTTTCGCCACAAAGAACCTTTTGTGAAACAGAAAGGTTCTTCAGATGTTAAAGGTTCTTTATGGAACCATTTAGACAAAAAGGTTCTTCTATGGCATCGTGAAGCACCTTTATATTTAAGAGTGTTCAGAAAGAGTAGATCTGGACTGAAGAAATTAGTGAGTTTACTCTCACTTTGGATTTCTATGGAAAGTCATTTCTGTCAGCAAATAAAAATATCAAAAATATAATTTTTTTTTTATCTCACAATTCTGAGCTTTTATCTCATAATTGCAAATTATAAAACTAGTAATTCTTAGTTTGCATCTCGCAATTCTGACATTTGTTCCTCCACAGAACAAAACAAAATTAAAAAAGGTATTTGTGATTGTTTTTTACCTCACAGTTCTGACTTTTTTCTCATTAATTCATTTTTACAACTCGCTTTTTTGACTTTTGAGGTTTTTTTTTTGTTTCTGCCGCTGAATTAAAAAAATCATAATTGTGACTTTTTATCTCACAATTCCTACTCTTCTTCTCTCTTTTTAGAATTGCGAGATTATATCTCACAATTACAAGTTCTAAACCTGTAATTACAAGTTTACATTTCGCAATTTTGACTTTTTTCTCAGAGTTCAGAGTTTAAAGGGTTAGTTCACCCAAAAATGAAAATTCTGTCATTAATTACTCACCCTCGTGTTGTTCCAAACCCGTAAGACCTTCGTTCATCTTCGGAACACAATTTAAGATGTTTTTGATGAAATCTGAGGGCTCTCTGACCCTCCCATAGACAGCAAGGTAACTACCACGTTCAAGGTCCAGAAAAGTACCAAGATGATCGACAAAGTAGCAGTGTGACACATTTTAGTAGTTCCACATTTTTGTCTCTACTGCGTCACTTTGGACGCACGTTCACGACAGTACCATGACGCGAGCGTGTGGCGGCGCCGGCGCTGACCCAGATCTGGCGTGATGACGTCGTCATGGTCGCTCGCGTCATGGTACTGTCGTGAACACGCGTCCACAAGTGATGCAAGCAGTAGAGACGAAAATGTGGAATAAAGTCGTTATTTTTGTTTTCTTTGCGCAAAAAAAGTATTCTCGTAGCTTCGTAACTTTACAGTTGAACCACTGATGTCACACGGACTACTTTGTCGATCATCTTGGTACTTTTCTGGACCTTGAACGTGGTAGTTACCTTGCTGTCTATGGGAGGGTCAGAGAGCCCTCAGATTTCATCAAAAATATCTTAAATTGTGTTCCGAAGATGAACGGAGGTCTTACGGGTTTGGAACAACACGAGGGTGAGTAATTAATGACAGAATTTTCTTTTTTGGGTGAACTAACCCTTTAAATCTAGCAATTCTTTTTTTATGCAACAGAGTAAAAAAAAAAAAAGGTAATTGTGACTTTTTATCTCACTATTCTGTTGTTTCTTCTCTCAAAATGTGAATTTATATTTGACAAATCAGACTTGTGCATTTGCAAGTTC